GGTTCAGCCCCGCCCCCCGACGCCACGCCCACGTGATCACTCGCCTCCAGGGCGTGGTCGGGGTTTTCGTCACGTGACCCCGGGGCGGGGCCAACATGGCGATTCCCAGAGAGGTGAGGAACTCCGGGGTAGGACGGCCGAGGCTGTGAGGGAGGCGGCCGAGGGGCGACGTCTACGCCATAGGTGTGAGGCGGTGGAGGGTAGACCGACGCCAGCTCCCAGTCGTCAGAGAGTGGCCTACAGTAGAGCTTCCCTTCTCGCAGCTGGAGAACGGATTGAGAAGGTGCTGGCTGGGCGAAGCTACCGCTCTCTGCCTGGCGGGGATTAAAGGGCCCAGAGTCCAGGGCGTTCCTAGTCACCCCAGTTTACCCGGAGTCTCAGGTCTAAAGATATGACCCGAGAGTGCGCTTCCCCGGCCCCTGGGCCTGGGGCTCCGCTGAGCGGTTCGGTGCTGGCAGAGGCGGCAGTGGTGTTCGTAGTGGTGCTGAGCATCCACGCAGCCGTGTGGGATCGATACTCGTGGTGCGCCGTGGCCCTCGCGGTGCAGGCCTTCTACGTCCAATACAAGTGGGACCGGCTGCTACAGCAGGGAAGCGCTGTCTTCCAGTTTCGAATGTCCGCAAACAGTGGCCTACTGCCCGCCTCGGTGGTCATGCCTTTGCTCGGGCTGGTTATGAAGGAGCGCTGCCAGGCTGCGGGGAACCCACACTTCGAGCGGTTTGGAATTGTGGTGGCGGCCACTGGCATGGCAGTGGCCCTCTTCTCATCAGTACTGGCACTGGGCATCACTCGCCCAGTGCCCACCAACACCTGTGTCATCTCGGGCTTGGCTGGAGGCGTCATCATTTATATCATGAAGCACTCGCTGAGTGTAGGCGAGGTGATCGAGGTCCTGGAGGTCCTGCTGATCTTTGTCTACCTCAACATGATCCTGCTGTATCTGCTGCCCCGCTGCTTCACCCCTGGAGAGGCTCTGCTGGTATTGGGTGGCATCAGCTTCATGCTCAACCAGCTCGTCAAGCGCTCTCTGACTGCGGTGGAAAGCCAGGGGGACCCCTTGGACTTCTTCCTGCTGGTAGTGGTGGTAGGGATGGTGCTCATGGGCATCTTCTTCAGCACCCTCTTTGTTTTCATGGACTCAGGCACCTGGGCCTCTTCCCTCTTCTTCCACCTCATGACCTGTGTACTCGGCCTTGGCGTGGTCCTGCCCTGGCTGCACCGGCTCATCCGCAGGAACCCCCTGCTGTGGCTTTTTCAGTTCCTCTTCCAGACAGAGACCCGAGTCTACCTCCTAGCCTACTGGTCTCTGCTGGCCACCTTAGCCTGCCTGGTGGTGCTATACCAGAATGCCAAGCGGTCATCTTCCGAGTCCAAGAAGCACCAGGCCCCCACCATTGCTCGCAAGTATTTCCACTTCATTGTGGTAGCCACCTACATCCCAGGTATCATCTTGGACCGGCCACTGCTCTACGTGGCCGCCACCATATGTCTGGCGGTCTTCATCTTCCTAGAGTATGTGCGCTACTTTCGCATCAAGCCCCTGGGCCACGCTCTGCGGAGCCTCCTGTCTCTCTTCCTGGACGAACGAGACAGTGGACCGCTCATCCTGACCCACATCTACCTGCTCCTAGGCATGTCTCTTCCCATTTGGTTAGTCCCCAGACCCTGCACACAGAAGGGTAGCCTAGGGGGAGCCAGGGCCCTAGTCCCCTATGCAGGAGTCCTGGCCGTCGGTGTGGGCGACACTGTGGCCTCCATATTCGGCAGCACCATGGGGGAGATCCGCTGGCCTGGAACTAAAAAGACTTTTGAGGGGACCATGACATCTATATTTGCCCAGATCATTTCTGTAGCTCTGATCTTAATCTTCGACAGTGGAGTGGACTTAAACTACAGTTATGCTTGGATTTTGGGGTCCATCAGCACCGTGTCCCTCCTAGAAGCATACACTACGCAGATAGACAATCTCCTTTTGCCTCTCTACCTCCTGATATTACTGATGGCCTAGGTGCTGTGCAGCAGCGATGAAGGAAACAGGGACATGGGGAAGACAAATGGTCCCCACAGCAGCCAGCCACTTGGGCTTGAAGAGCCAGGAGGGGAGAAGCAGATTTAATTTTTCAGTTGATTGAGATTTAAAATAAAAATCAAAGCACTCCCGGTTTTAGTTTTGCTGATATTTTAAAAAGCAAAAAGGCTTAACGGATAGTGCAACAGCTCAAAGAGCTTGAGTGGGCCATAGGGCCCCCCCTCGCCTTGCAGTCCTCCGGGGGGCCGGAGTGGACACTGGAGGCCGTAGGGCAGAGTGGTTAACACTTCAGGTTCTGGTGTCAGACTCATCTGGTCAGAATCCTTGGCTGAACCACTTCTTAACTGTGTGAGTTGCTTAATCACTCTGGGCCTCAATTCTCATGTCTGCAAGACGGGAATAATAAGAACCTGCACCTCACGGGGTGTCATGAGGTTCTGGCGAGGTGACGTGTGTGAGGCGACCAGCCCAGAGCCTGCACTTAAGTGCGGAAGTGTCACATAAGTGAGGGAAAGTGTCATTGTTTACCCAAGGCCAGTCCTCATCTCAGCAAAAAGCCAGGCAAACCAAAGGGTTATATGGGTTGTACTTGGAGACCAGAGTGACCCTACTCCCCTGGCTTCATTCAGAGGAGAATACAAGAGGAAAATAGCCGAGCGCATGTGGTTTCTCCCATTTGGGCTAGGAAGAGCTGAAGCGGGAGATGGGATCTGTTTGTTGAATCCCTGGAAGGGCTGGAGGAAGAGGGTCCGTCCTGGGCTGACTACCTGTCTCAGCCAACCCCACCCGGCCTCAAGGCCTCTGCCGCCTGGCCGAGTGGTGCTGATGAAGGACAGGCTGGACAGCACAGGGTCCTTGTCAAGGGGTCCCTCCTGAGACCTCTCGCCCTCCAGTCATGTCCACACCTGTGTTGGTCTCTTCTCTTGGCGAGAAATTAGAGGCAAGGTCTGGTGAAGTTTACTGAGAGTTCAGAATCGCTCTGAGACCTCTCGCCCTCCAGTCATGTCCACACCTGTGTTGGTCTCTTCTCTTGGCGAGAAATTAGAGGCAAGGTCTGGTGAAGTTTACTGAGCGTTAAGAATCGCTATTCCGGGGTGGGGGGAGGGGGCAGTGCATGCTCCAGCCTTGCTCTCTGTGAGGGCAGAGTCCAGCTCTCCCTGGTTCCCCACCGCATCCCCCAGTGCCAGCACAGCCTGGCACATAGCAGGAACTCGGCAGACCTCTTCGCTGAATGGATGAACATTTCCCATCAGTGAGAAGATAGCACAGCAGGTTTCTCAAGGCTGGACCGGGTTCTCCCCACTTCCCACCAGCCTGACAGGGAGGGGCCTAGGCAGGAAGAGGTGAGAACTTGGGCCCACCAAGGCCGGAAGCCAGGAGCCCAGCTCTGGGAGCTTGCTTCTGCCTGAGCATCACTGCCAAGCCCTTTCCCTCAGAGGAGAGTATTGAGACATTCGTTTTGGGCTCAAAGGAGCCTTAACAAACCCTTCCCTTGGCTCAGGCTCCCCGCGACTGCTCGCTGAAGGAGGCAACACCATGTTACGGTGTAGCGTATATGAGTGCTGGCTTTGCCCCACTGACTCCCTGCGTGGTTTGTTCCCATACAGAGTGGGGGTTGGAAATCAAGGTCATAAAATCATAAGGCCGCTGAGGCCAGGCGGGTAATGCAATGAAGGAGGACAGGGAAGGGAAACGGAGAGCACGTGTGCCTGTAAGAAGGCAGCTCCAGCCAGTGGTAAGTAGGCTAGACCACAGGCCCCCGGGCTGTTGACCTGCTCATTCAAAGAAGCTTAGAAACCTGAATTGTTACGTGAAATCTCCCAATTTTAAAATGTTGTGGGTTTTTTGTTTGTTTTAAAATGCCGAGGCCCAGACAAAACAATTCTGCATTGTGAAATCGGCTGGTGGCCCCCAGTTTGCAACCTCTGAGCAGACCCCCGCCGGCAGGTTTCAGATTTGGTAGTTGTTCCTGTAGCTCTGGGTGCCTGCCAAGCATGTCCAAACAGGAGGGACCTGTGGAGGCCCTCGTCCGGCCCCTTGATGGTGCAGGCGGCCAAATGGGCCCAGAGAGAAGGGCCTGGCCTGAGGCCGGAAATCGAGTTGGTCACAGAGCCAGGACCAGAATCTCAGACTAGATTCCAGGCTCTGGACTTTTCCCTCCCCAGGAAAGGAGAACTGGGAACATAGAGGTTAGAAGCACAGGCTCTGGGTCTGGCTGACCTCGCCAAATGCCTGAGCAGCTGTGGGACTTGGGCAGGTCACTTAACCTTCCCATGTGTCAGCTCCCTCATCAGCACCTACCTGAGAGGGGTGAGGATCCAGTGATAAAGCACAGAAAGCTCTTGGCACCATGAATGCCCACTAAATGTCACTTACTGTTATTAACATCGTGCATACCTCACAGGGCAGGGCTGGGCTACCTGCGATGATTTTCAGCAGGGTTCCCATCTTGAGAGGAAGGCTGCTTGGGAAAGAAGGATGAAGATGCTGCATTTGGAAGTCTTTTTTATTCAGTGTCTCCCACCATAATGACCAAGAGTTCCATGTGAGAGGGGAGACGACGAGTGAGAAGCCGGCAGAGAAACAGCCAGAACCCTTTCATGGCCGTGAGGCTGCCTCTAGGGGGAGGTTGTGTTGGGGTAGAGGGACGGACAGAGACAGATGTCGGGGAAGGCACCCAGCCCAGCCTTCTGCTCATGCCTGCCTGTCTGCACAGACACCAGCAGAAGGAAAGCCCTGGAGAAGAGACACGAATTCCCCATCGCAGCTGGGCGGTGGGTTGAGGCGCTGGCTTTGGTGGCCCACAGCTTCTCCCAAGAGGGGGTGGCGTCCCTGCCCTCAGAGGGCCTTTAGGTGTACAGTGGGGGAAAGGGCAGCTCAGCTGTCGGCTGGAGCCTGCAGGGGATGGGGAGAGGACCTCGAGGTGCTAGTAGCACTGCTCCCAGCCTCCAGGACCTCTTTGGGAGCTGTCTGGGGCCCACACACACCCTGCCACCTACCAGTTATCTGGGCTCCAGACGGTGCCAGCAGCCTCCATGAGGTGGAAAGTATAGGCCTGGCGTGAGCAGTCGGAGAAATTCTGCTCACTTTTGTGCACCACTTCTCCGTGGATTAGGACGAGGGCCCCTGGCAGGGACACAGCCGGTCAAGAGCGCACCCGAGGCAGGAAGGGACATGGTGGGCGGCCCCTCCCTTAAGCGGTGTCGTGGGCTATTCATCCCCATTCCCATCCCTGGACGCTCAGGGGCCTGGAGTCTGCCCCAGCGTCAGAGGCTGTGCTGTTGGACGTGGGTTCCCCTGGAGTCAAGTCCCTTCCGCTGTGGCCCGTGCCCTTGGCAAGCCTCAGCAAGGGCATCCACGTCCATGGCACATGCAGAACCAGACAGAAGCTCTCTGTCCCATGCCAGCCAGCTGGGGCCTCAGCCGGGAGTGCAGAGTTGGGGCTCACTTTCCCTTTTCTAAAAGGAAGAGTGTGCTTACAGCCAGGATTTGTGAGCACTTGTGGTGCACCATCTTGTACATATGACATCTCACTGGCTTCCCTACTTTATGTTTGGGGAAACTGAGGCTCAGAGAGGTTCAGTCATTTGCTCACAGAGACAGCCGGGATGTAGCAGGGTCTGGATTCCAGCCTGATCGGGAGACCCTGCCATCAACCACACAGCTTTCAGACCTCCCAGTGCCCAGCCAGCCCTACCTTCCCTCATGCTGTGACTTCCCAGCCCTCAGGAGAGCTGGCTGGTCAGAGCAAGCACAGACCCCCAGGCGTGGCCTCCGGGCCCCTCTGCACACCCCCTACCTCTCCGCACCGGTGTGGGCACAAAGAGGCTGTTATCCCGGGCTGGCTCGGTCCCAAGGAAGCTGGTGCCAGGCGCCGAGCCAGCAGGCGCCCGGACCATCCTTCTCGACACTCCACCTGCGGGCCAAGGTGGGGACTTTAGCCTCTCTTTAATCGGGGTCCCTCCCCTGTGGGGGGTGGGGATGAGTGGGCAGGGAGAGGCAGGTGGCCTCACCTGTGTGGGAGCCAGGGATGAACCAGAGGCAGCCATTCTCCAGCGTGGCGTCTTCCAGAGCAATCCACACGCCCAGCACCCGGCCCAGAGGCTCCGTATACAGGAAGGAGGCATCCTGGTGAGGGGAGACTGCAGCAGGCCCGCCTGGGCATGAGGCGCCTGGCCTCACCCCACCTTGGCCTCGTTGCTACTCACTCCGTGGTCCTCCCAGGGCCCTCCAGACCCAGCCTTCCCATGAGCAGTTAGAATCTCACTGCTTCCTGGCCCGGAGACTCTGGGCAAGAGATTTCACCTCTCAAGCTTCAATTTCCTAAACCATAAAGCAGCCCCAACGATAACCTAACCTTAACGAGGTTGCTGGAGGATTCTGAGACAGGGTAGGAAAAGTGCTTAGTACAGGGCCTGATGTAATCGCTGCCTGAAAAGCAGCTGCTATCGTTTAATTCCAGCCAGGTAACTCAAGCCGCCGTCCTTAACCAGTGAGAGCACCTCCAGCCACCAGATGGTCCAGTGTAAGCCACCAGTGGTCTAAGACTTGGAAGTTGGGTGTGAAGCAGGAAACGGACCCAGCATCCACATTGTAAACATCCCCTGCGTGATGCTGGGGCCCAGTCAGGATAGAGAACCGCTGAACAGAGGACCTTAGTCTGTAACAACAAGAGGGTGCTAGTCTCACCTCATCCCTTCCTGGGGAACTGTGTGCTTTCTGAGCACCAAAGTTTAAGTCAGACTTTGACAATCCAGACAGTGTCCAGATGAAGGTGTCCTAATGGTGGGGGCCCCAAAACATTTGGAGGAGTAATGGCTGAAGGAGCTGGGGGTGCTGGACTGAGCACAGAAGGCTCAGGGAGAGGATGGCCATCCCTTCCGGAGACTGTCCTCAGGCTGGATGGTGGGGAGGAGGGGGCCTCACAAGGGGAATGACTTGAGCTCATGTCAGGAAAGGAAGAGCTGCCTGTAGGGGTGGTGAGCCCTCTGTCACCGGAGGTATTTGAGAGAAGTAGATCATCACCCATGAGGGAGGCTGGAAAGCGTATCTGGGTATCCAGGGGGTTTGTAATCAGATCAGCAGTTTCTATGCTGAATCAGTCCGCCAGAGAACTTGGTAAGATACGGATTCCCAGGACCTTGCCACCCTCCTGACTCAAGATCTCAGGGAATGGGGCCCAGGAATCTGTATTTTTAACCAGCAAGGAGTCGCTGCCAGGTTTGGGAACCACTGGGTCAAGGGCTCCAGGACACCCCCCTCCACCACCCCCCACCCCACCCCACCCCGCTGGCATCCACTCTTTCAGGAAGCAGCAGAAGATGGCTCCTCCTCCGCTGGCCCAGGCTCTTGTCTATGGACGTCTTGGCAGGCGCCTTCCCTCCCTCTGGAGACCTGACAACCACTAAAGTCCCAGATCTCCCGCTGGGGCCTTCGCTGGCCCCCCAGCCTACTCTTGGCTCACCTTCGCCGCCCAAGTGAGGTTGCTGCAGGAGAGAGGAGGGGCCAGGTGAGGCCAGGGAGAGCGGGGAGGGGCAGGGGCTGCCCTGAGTCCTCCGAGTGGGATGCTCTTCCCCCCGCCACAGGTGTTTATCTGCAAGGCTTCCACGTCAGCACCCAGCTATCGAGCACCTACTATGTGCCAGGCCCAGGAGGGCTGCAAAGAGAAAAGCCACCCTGCCTGGCAGGGAGCTCCCAGTCTGAGCACACACGTCCCTAACAAGAACACAAGGCAGAAGTGAGGGGCAGCGGGAGAGGCTGGGGCCCAGGCCAGCGATTAAGCCTCTGGGCTCCAGGATCAGAGATGTGTCCTCTCTTCCCAAGGGCGTTGGAAGGCTTCCTGGAGGAGGTGGCACTGGGCTGGGCCTTGAAAGCTGGGAGCAGAGCATTTCAATAGCCAACAAAGGGAGGAGGCAGCCTCAGGATCCCCTTTCCTTCCACGGCACCCGAACGGAGCCCCAACTAAGTGCCAGGCACCCTAACCAGAGGAGACCGGTTTTCATGTTCTCCTGCCAACTTAATAATACTTCCTCAGTAGGCAGCTTGCGGCCCTTGTAAGGAAGGGCTTGGTCTATGAGCACTGTGCCCATTTTACAGAGGGTAAGTGGGGGCCTGGGGAGAACGGGGAGCTCACCTTAAAGATATACATGCTCTGCACCACCACGGGCATCTGGAGGCCCAGACTTCTGGCCAAAGCCTGGAAGGGGGCAGAGGTCACATGGCCAGCCCGCCCACATTCACATATGGCCCACCGGCCCACCCTTACCGACACCTCTGCTCACCTGCACCTTGGGGGAATGTGTGACACACCTGAAGACAGGGTCATGGGCGTGCAGAGCTGCAGGACAGAGGTGAGCTGAAGAGCCAGTCCCCAGTCCCCATGCGTGCCTCCCACGCCTAGGCCTGGGCACCCAGGGTCAGGCCTCACTTTGATATTCTCACCTATTTTCTGTGCATTAAGCTTTCTGCTTGCTTATAACTGAGAAATGGGCCCCACAGATGCCTTCACCTGACCTATGACCTTATTCTTGACCTTCTAGCCCTGACTGGCCGCCCTTCAGAGGACCAAGGACTCCAAGGGACCCATCACTTGGTAGCAATTTTGGTACTGCCGCTTGCTCTGTCGGGCTCTGAGCACCGATTTCTCTCCTTTAAGCCTTAGTTTCTTCCTGTGTACAATGGGATCAGCCCTGCCTCCTGGGCTGTGATAGGACTCCATGGGCTAACGCGTGTGCAAGCACAGCCCAGGACCAGGCACTGAACAGTCACTCTTCTCATTATTCACTACTGTTGTTATTACAAAAAGTGAGGGTTGGGCTTCCCTGGTGGCGCAATGGTTGAGAATCCGCCTGCCGATGCAGGGGACATGGGTTCATGCCCCGGTCCGGGAAGATCCCACATGCCGCGGAGTGGCTGGGCCCGTGAGCCATGGCCACTGAGCCTGCGCGTCCGGAGCCGCAAAAAAAAAAAAAAGTGAGGGTTGAACGTATTTAATGCCACTGAATTGTATACTTCAAAATGGTTACAATGGTAAATTTTCTATTATATGTATTTTACCACAATTTGTAAAAAAAAACAAAGCTACCATGATATAACTTCATGTTTAAAAATCAGTCTACAAGATAAATTATAAGGGTTGTTTTTGTTTTTGTTTTTCTTGCCACATCACGCGCCTTGTGGGATTTTAGTTTCCTGACCAGGGATCGAACTCAGGCCCTCGGCAGTGAGAGCACGGAGTCTTAACCACTGGACCGCCAGGGAACTCCCTACAAAATAACTATAATGCGCGATCCTGAAAAAAAAAGAAAAAGAAAAAAGGGTTTCCTAGCTTGGTTTAGGGGTCTTGGAACAGGGACGTTGTTTGGTGTTCCTTAAGAAGCCTTCAGGGAGCAATGGGACCCAGAATCCCCACATGCCTGGGGCCTGAATCATCCGCAGGCCCGGCAGTAGAGAGTTGAGGAGCCTGCACACACCCATCTGCATGGAGGGTGGGCTCAAATGGACCCCTCTTCCCAGTGATACAGTGGCAGTGTCATGTGATTAGCATCATAAGATGCAGGAGAGCAGGGCCCAAGAAGGACCCTGCACCCAGAAATGCCATTTGTTGGGCTACTACCTTAACGTGTGCTTTGGGGGATGGCCCCCCAAACTCTTCAGACCTGTTTCTCTCCAGCCCCTGCTTACCATGGCCAATTTTGTTGATGGATTTCTCCGGAGGGACCAGGAAATTTCCTGTGGCACAAGGGACAGGTCAAGCTGGAAGGACTGGAGTCCAGCCACCCCCGCCTCTAGGGCCCCAGTTCCAAACCTTTCTCATCAAAGACGCCTTTCTCAAAGAAGAACCGAATCTTGTCGCCGCTGCTCAAGAAATAGTCTGTGCTGCCCTGTGGAGAGGGGACGACAGAGGGGCTGAGAGAGCATCAGGGGGGTCCCAGGTGGGCCTGGCAGAGAAGGAAGAGGATTCAGATGCTTCCCACCCCACAGAGCTGCAGACGCCTCTGAGGAACCGCAAGGACCTGGAGGCACCAAGCTACAAGCATGGAATTTCTTAGAAACCTCTAAATAAATCACATGACTCATACTCCATAATGGCATGAAACACAGGTACTAGATCAAACACGCCTGGTTCCCAGGGAGCCTTGGGCCACTTGTTTTACCTCTCAAAGCCTCAGTTTCCTCATCTGTAAAAGGGGAATAATAATAGAACTGACCTCCCTGGATTGTTGGAGGCTTCAGGTTCAGGTAGAGGCTGAATCTTATAGAAGTTGAGAACACAGACCCTGGAGCTACAATACTTGAGTTCAAATCCCAGCTCTGCCACTAACTGACTGTAATCACAACCACATTACTGAACCTCTCCAGGCTTAGTTTCCTCATAAAATATAGAGGCTATTAATGGCACCTATCTCATAGGGTGTTGTAGGGATTATGAATCAGTATATATAAGGCATATAAGGACAGTCCTGGGAATGTGGTGTCATGTGAATATCTGCCTTTATTATTATTATTACTACTGCTGCTAAATAGAAAACATCCAGCAAGGACATGGCTAAATGCTTGATAAATGTAAGCTATTACTAATCTTGTTCTTTTTTCTTAATAACCTCTCCTTGTTAATTTTATTGATTTTTTTTTTTTTTTTTTTTTTTTTTTTCCTTCTTTTTGACTTTCTGTGCTTCAGCTTAGATATTTTCTTCTAACCTATCTTCTAGTTCATTAATTTTCTACTCAATCATATGTAATATCTATGAAACCCCCCCCCTGAGTTCCTAGTTTTTTTTTTTTTTTTTTTTTTTTTTTTTTTTTTTGACTACACCCTGTGGCTTCTGGGATTTCAGTTCCCCGACCAGGGATCAAACCCGGGCCGCAGCAATGACAGTGCCGAATCCTAACCACTAGGCCACGAGGGAACTCCCTTCTTGTTAATTTTAATATCATGTTTTAAATTTCTTAGCAGCATATGAAAATGATGCTCCAGGGACTTCCCTGGTGGTCCAGTGGTTGAGAATCCACCTTCCAGTGCAGGGGACGTGGGCTCGATCCCTGGTTGGGGAACTAAGATCCCACAGGCTGCAGGGCAACTAAGCCCGCATGCTCTAGAGCTCGAGTGCCACAACTAAGACCCGACGCAGCCAAACACAAAAATAAATATTTAATTTAAAAGAAAGAAGAAAATGATGCTCCAGGGAGATGCCCCATGTTTTCCTTGTGGCTTTAGCCACCCATGATCACCATATATATCTTCCTTCATGGCGACGTTAAGTACACTTTAAGCGTCACCAATGCCCCTACCTGGGTTCCCATATGGCACAGCCCCAGCACTCCCTCAACTGCACACATCTGCTGTCACAGTGCCTTGCGTGGCTCAACTCAGTGACCTGTCTGGCCCTTTCCACGCCCTTCCCACTGAAAACTAAAAGTTTTTTTTCAACATTCTTAACTCCTCTGCACTAGCAGGGGAACAGGTCTGGGAAGCATAACTGATAATAATAATAAAGACAGTGACGCTACACGCGTGTCAAAGATTTTTACTTAACTCAGTAATTCACACGGGAACCAGAAACATGTTGAAAGGAGAATTCCGAGAAACACACAAATATAGGCAATAAGAAACGCTGAAATGAATTTACAAATCAAGGCAAAACTGAATCTATCCACAAGGGCAATAACTGCATCCTGCCGGGCCCAGTTCATACCCATTTCTATGGACGAGTATCATGTGAGTTATTATCAGTTCTATATAACTTACAGAGTTGTATAATAACTCAAAAACAATGAAAGGTGCTGGTAAGCTGGAACGGAGCACTACTAGACAGGACACCGCCAATATTTTTTTCTTTTAATATCCATTTCAGGGATTTCCCTGGTGGTGCAGTGGTTAAGAATCTGCCTGCCAATGCAGGGGACACGGGTTCGAGCCCTGGTCCAGGAAGATCCCACATGCCATGGAGCAACTAAGCCCGCAAGCCACAACTACTGAAGCTGGCGGCCTAGAGCCGGTGCGCCACAAGAGAAGCCACTGCAAAGAGAAGCCCATACATCACAATAAAGGCTAGCCCCTGCTTGCCACAACTAGAGAAAGCCCACGTGCAGCAACAAAGACCCAACACAGCCAAAAATAAATAAAATTTTTTTAAAAACCCAATAGGGGATTGATCCCCCCCCCCCCCCCGCTCACCACAACTAGAGAAAGCCCGCGCGCTGCAACGAAGGCCCAACGCAGCCAAAAATTAATTAATTAATTAATTAAAAAACGAATTTCAAAGTCTTTCACAGTATCAGTAGTGAATATTGAGGGTTTACTGAATACCAGTGCAGCCAAATGAAACCGACTGTTTGGAGGAAAGTGTCATTCTGTAACCCTTTTTCTTTCTGAAGTCCCCATTCTCTGGGTTGCAAGCCTTCTAGTCATTGTAATTCCCTTTATGCCCACCAGATGGCAGAAGCTCCTTGCCATGAGTAAGCGTGAGCCCCATTACTGAGCCTGGACCACAGCTTTGGCTTGGGGGCCCATTCGCAGGCAGGCTCATAAATTCAGCCTATGAAGGGTTAAGAGAACTGTGTGGATGAACCCCTGGGCCTCAACTTACCCATCTCAAGCTGTACTGAGTCCTAGTAGGTCACTGGGGGAAACAAGCAGTTCCTTGTCTCATTGGGGGATGACTTACCCAGGTGGGCCCATCAGAATCACTTGGCTCATGCTGGGTTGCTGGCCACAAAGAGGTTCTTTGTGGCAGGAAAACTTCTAAGAAAGTACAGCAGAGCAGTGACAGCATGTACTTGGTATCAGGCAGATCTGGGTTCAAATTCTGACCCTATCAGTTACTAATTGTGTAGTTTGGGGCAAGTGAGCTGAGCCTCATTTACCCCACCTGTCTAATGGGGGCAATAATGCTGACTTCATAAATTCGTAGTAGGGAGTGAAGGAAATATGCATATAAGACACTTAGCCTGGAGCCCGTCCCACAGAAAGCTTGGGGCCTGATTCGTTATCAGCATGAGCCCATGGGCCTTGGGGTCCTAACCTTTCCAGACTGCTGCTCTGGCTGGGGACTGAGCCACCCATCAAAGACCAAATCTCATTCTCACCTGCTCCAGGCACCTACCTGGGCCCTCAGCTGCTCCTCCTCCTGGGTGGAAAATTCCGTGCGACAGTGGAAAGGGACATCCATCTCAGCCACTATCTCGCCAATCCTCCGTTGCATGGCCACACACTCGTCTGCAGACCAGAATCCTTCCAGCACCAGGAATCCATCCTCCTGAAACTGCAGGCAGGAAGGAGACTCAGGCTTCTTTCTCCCTGCCCTCAAACGCTCTTGATGAGGACTGATTTGACCCTTCCCCAAACCATAAGCCGTGTGGAGGCAGGACAAAGCATCCTGTTCATTGCTCTGCCCCCCTCCCTGGCGATGGTGTCTAGCACCCAGTGAAGAGCAATCCGTGTTGGCTGCTTGAATGAAGGAAGGGGAAGTGGAAGGGGAGGTGTCCCCGCCCTAACCTTCCAGGGAATACAACCTCATTCATTTATTCAGCTAATATTGGCTGAGCATCTACCGTGCACCAGACATGGTTTTAGGAGCTGGAGATTCAGTCATGAGCAAGCCAGCCATGATGCTTGCCTCTCAGAACTTAGTCTAGGGAAGGAGGTGGATATCAAACAAACCAGCACACAGGTGAACTTATCACACAAAATACGTTTTATCTACCTGAAATACAACACAGCTGACAGAAAAATATTTATTGGCATGGGAATGTGTTCCACACATATTGTGAGTTTAAAAAAAAAAAAAAAAAGCCAACTACAAATTAGTATCCTAATTTGTGAGAACCTGGGCAAGTGCTTTCCCCTCTCTGACTCTCAGGCTATCAGATGGGGAGCACAGTAGTGCCTCCTTTATGAAACATACAGCAAGCAAGCAAGCAATCGGCAGCAGCTTTTGTGTATTGTGATGGACCTTTCATTTTGTTTATTTGGCCCCCCAGCGCAGCCTGTGGAATCTAAGCTCCCCAACCAGGGACTGAACCCGTGCCCTCTGCAGTGGAAGCGCGGAGTCCTAACCACTGGACCGCCAGGGAAGTCCCCTGAAACTTTTAGAGATTCAAGGGCTGTATGTCAAAATATTGTCTCAGCATAGGAATCTATAGGTGGGTTTAAATTTTCTTTTTTGAGCTTTCCTGTATTTTTTTGCATTTTCCTCTTGCCATCAGGAACAAACAACAAGGGTCATGTTTTTTAAAAGTCTCCGTCTCTCTGATTCCCACGGGTTAGCCTTTTCGGGTCTGAACGCGCCCACCGGGTGGTTGCCCGCCCACCCGCCCCGCGCTAGAGGTGGGTTGTGGGTAGGGTGGGGCGGGTGGACCCGCCCCTCGTCGGCCCCGCCTCTTCTCAGACCCCCCTCCCCCGCCCCCAGTTCACAGGATCCTGTGTTTTCTTCTGGTTTCTTCACGCAAACGTTCCCACCCCAACCGCGGTGCGTTGGCCTGAATGGCCCCTGGCTGTGTGTGCAGAAGTTAGGGGTCATGGCTGTGAACCGACCACTCTGGGATTCAGTTTCCTCTTCTGAAAAACGTTAAGGGGGTGGGTCGAGTTCCCCGGGACTACTCCAAGTCCGGAGGGGCCCCCTACATTTACCTGACCCTCGGGGTACCCACCCAGCAGGGCCCTACCTTCTGGAGCTGTGAGGGGCTCAGGTAGGCCATGAGGACGAGGCAGGGCGCACGGGTGGCTCTGCGGCTGTGCCTGAGGCTGGAGAGGAGAAAGGTCAGGAGGGGAGAGTGGCCAGAGCCTGGGAGGCCCAGGAGGATTTAACCCTTCCCAGCCCAGAGAAAACCGAATCCTGGCCTTCAGCTCCTCCCCCGGCCCCATCCAGAGAAAACCCACTCCCGGCCCCCAACGCACCCACCCCACCCCACCCCCTCTCACTTCTGTCCTTGGGTGGGGCCCTTGTCTCTGCCCCACACCCTGGGTCCATCCCCCCAGCTAATCCAGGATTAGCCATTTCTGATCTCCTACAAGATCTTTAACTGCCTCCTTGCAGTTTCTTTCCAGAAACCACTCCCGGCTGGCTGTTTCCGAGGTGCCCAGAAGTTGTGTCCTAGGAGTGTCTGGGCAGGCAGGAGGACACCCGAGTCCCTGCCCAGGTGCCACAGCTAACTGTAACCTCCAACCCATATCTGCCCCTGGGTCGAGGCAGGGTTAGAAAGTGCCCAGGCCATCAGCAGCAGCATCTGGGTGGGATGGGATGCAAGGTGGGTCTGGGGGCGCGCACATCAGACAGACTCTGAGCTCTGCATTCCAAAGGTGGAAGAGGGCTTCAGAGGATTGCCTGGGCCCCCGCCCCTGCCCCCCAAGCTCTGATCCCCTGGGACTCTCTAGGTCCTGAAGGGATTACAGATCTGTCTGCAGCTCAGAGGAAGAGAGAAGATAAGGGGGGAATCTTAGAAAGGGGAAGGGGCTAGAGCGGGGGCCTGGGTCTTCAAAATGAGGGTGAGGGAAGCCATGGTTCCTGTTCCCCACCCCCAGGCTCAAGATGCTGGTGCCTGAGGCCGGCTGGCGGAGGCCGGCGGTCAGCACACCCACCCTTCCAACCAGCCCTGCTCAGCAGCTGACGGGGCCGGCCTGGCTGCTGCTTCTGAAACCCAGCCGCCACTGGCCTTCCCTGAAATGACGCTTTCTGAATGGCGAAGGGACAGAGTGTCTCGGGAGCGAGCGTGGGGACACTGCTCAGCCCTCAGGAGCCTTGGCCCTAAGTCAAGTCGTGTTTTCTGCGCCACCGCACTGGGAGTATAGCTGCTTGGTCCCTGCTTCCCAAGAGCAGAGAGCCAGGGGAGGGGAGAGCCCCGGCAGGCCCCTGAGGCTGGAGGGTGAAGAGGTTCCCAGGGGACAGGCCAGGTGAGAAAGACAGGTGGAAGACAGAACGCTCTGGGGAAATACAGCCAGTACTCAAGGCAGGGAGCGATCCCAGCTGTTCTGGCCCCTTCCCAACAGATCCAGAGAGACACCTGCCATGTGCCAGGAACACAGTGAGGGTCCAGTAGTGCTGGGCTAGCAACTCCTCGGGGAACCCCCATCCAAGGCTTCCATCCACACCAGGGCCTTATTTTCCCCATCTGTGCTTTGGGGTTAACAGAAGTACCTCCTGGGCACTTGGAAAGTGCCCACTGGCTGTTCACTATATGTTAGCAGGAGCTGTTCTCGGTGGAATGTGAGGGTATTTTTACTTTACTTTTTGAATCTCCCCAAGTTTTCCAAACTGCTGTTATCATCAGAGAAAAGGCCACCAGTGTGGTTTTAAATGGAGTGAAGAGCCCTGAGTTGGGGGGAGGCGGGGGGACGGCTGGGCCTCCCACTACTTGTTCATTCATTCCACTCAGGCTTTGGGAAGTGGGTGGGCGGTGTTTCCACATTGCTGTTTTTTTCCAAAAGCTAACCAGCTCCAGATCCGGCGCTTGGGCCACCCCAAGCCTGAGGCGGGGCAGCGGGCACTGGTGGGGAGGTACCAGACCAGACAGGAGAGGAAGACCTCTACTCTCGAGATAAAGGAGGGTGTTCTAGGGGGTTGCCCAGCCCAGCTGCTTGGCCTCCCAGTCAAAAATCCCACGACAGAGGCAGAAGAGAGAGGGACTCTTGACTCACTCCTGAGGTCACCTGGGGGGTCAAAGTCCCATGTAGGGAGCAAGGACAGACTCTGGTGTGTCCCAGAGGAGGTGCCCAAGCAGCAGGTAAGGACTCATTGTTAAGGCCAAGGTCTGACACAATGGCCTTTTTTTTTTTTTTTTTTTTTCACAGAACTAGAACAAAAGATCTTAAATCCTCAAGTCCATTCTCTAGTAGGTCTGTGTCTTTATTCCTGTCTTACCCCTAGGTTCTTCATGACATTTTTTCCCCTTAGATTCCACATATATGTGTTAGCATACGGTATTTGTCTTTCTCTTTCTGACCCACTTCACTCTGCACAACAGACTCTAGGTCCATCCGCCTCACTACAAATAACCCAACTTTGCTTCTTTTTATGGCTGAGTAATATTCCACCATACACATGCACCACATCTTCCCCACCCATTCATCTGACGATGGACACCCGGGTTGCCCCCATCTCCTGGCCACTGTAAATAGAGCTGCAGTGAACATTTTGGTACATGACTCTTTCTGAACTATGGCCTTCCCAGGGCACATGCCCAGTAGTGGGTAAAAACATTTTTTTAAGGAATTCAGTGAAGGGATGGATTTTATTCTATCCTGATGCATATTTGGAGAATGGGAAGTTCCAATGACCCTTCTATGGTGGGATAAAAAAATCCTGAGTCTTTACAACTTTTAGAAATACAGAGAAGTTTATTAAGACATTATCAGAAAGGGGAACAATTTACCAAGTAAGAATCAGAATTATAAAGCTTTTTGAGTCTCTAAATTACTTCTCACAGGTGTGGTTATGTTTGAAATCCAGAGGTCTTCTATTTCTTCATGTATATAACACTTCCACAGGCAGGTTTAGACATAGAACAACCTGTCCTAGTTTTGAATATTCACACAAGTCTCTATATTAGACCAAAGAAAAAGACATATTCTCAATATTAATTGAAACTTTATCAGAGGAAGCGGCCATGGCTCACGGGCCCAGCCGCTCCGCGGCATGTGGGATCTTCCCGGACCAGGGCACGAACCTACGTCCCCTGCACCGGCAGGCGGACCCTCAACCACTGCGCCACCAGGGAAGCCCCCGACAATGGCCTTTTTTCTTCACCAAGAGACCCCTCCCCCAGGGCCCACGTTGGCCCAGCACAAGCCTTGCTGGGCCAGGAGGAAGATAGATCATTTATTGATTTCCAGGAGCCAGGCCCTCTGCTAAAAACTCCACCTACCAGCAAAATTATCACGAAGCTGAGTAAGCCCCCGAACAATCCTGTGAGGTCGCCAACACCATCCTGATTTTATAAATGAGGAAACCGAGGGTCCACATCAAATAAATGGCAGAGCTAGAATCTGAAGACAACTCTGCCCATCTCCCCCAGCCTCTGCCCTTGACCCCAACACCTTCAGCACCTCCAGCCCAAAGGGGCTAGAAGCTGGGTCAGGCCTGCCCACGGTGACTCTCAGTCCTGCCTCTGCAGAGCCCTGGAGACTGGCTGTTGGAATTACAAGGGACGGATGGGAGCAGAGTGGAAGTGCCCACTGCACAGCTGGGGATGTGGAGGGCACGGGAGGAAAGGGGCTTGCCCAGTTTGACAAAGGGGATGACTGAGCTGGGAAAAGGACCCGAGACTACTGGCTCCCATTCCAGCACCCTTCCCTCCCTCCCATCAAAGCTCGGGAGGGCCCGAACCTTAGGCCTCAGCCAGCAGAGAACGTGCTGGCTGTGGGATCCTGGTGGGGCCCACACCGGATGTGGAACAGGGGCTGCGTCCAGCTCATGTCCGGTAGCTGCCTCCGAGGAGCTTCCGGTTTCACGGGGCAGGCAGAGGAGCAGAGTTCATTATCTTCTAGGTGCCCGATAGATGGTCACTCCACAAACCAGTCCATGGGGCTGAGCGGGCCTCAGAGAGCTGAGGGAAGGGTCCCCCCATGACATGGAGACCTCCAGAGGCTACCTTCTGTTATAGATTTATTTGATATTTGAACCGAGTCTGCAAGTTCAGACCCACGTGTAACAGATTGCTTCATGGTTGTCAGAGGCTAGTGTGCATTATTTCTGAGGATTACATCCAATGACACGACGCAGAAAACACAAATGGACGAGTGGACATAATCATTAAGATGAGACGCTAAAACGTGCCTTAATGTCCAAGTGATCGATCTAAGGTGGGGACCCTTCTAAAGCGGGGACCCCGGTGACTGATCTAAAGTGAGCTGGCTTCCCGCCGCCAGGCGCTGAGTGGGCTGCACGTGCCAGGCGCCTGGGAGAGAAACTGGAACCAGAACCTGGATAGCCTCACCCGTGGCCCCGCCTCCAAGTGTCCGTTGTGAAGGACCAGGTGGTGACAGGACTGACGTCAGCGGCTGAGGCCAGTAGTAGCACTGGGCAAACTCGTGAGCGTGAGGTGGGAAAACAGAGTCCGGGTGAGGGGGGTCCTCTGGGCTCCTTAACACCGCGACAAGGGATGGGGGTGGGGATGGAGCACCGTTCATCCGGGGATTAGCCAACCCGAGTCCCCTCCCTTCTTGGAAGCTCCGGGACATTCTCTTCGGCCAACAGTCACAGAAATGAGAGCCTGCCAAGATACATGGAGGAGAAAGAAAACAAGACACCAAAAACAAGACACAACAATCCCCGCCCCAGGCGGGGAGAGGAACTACTTACTCCTGGACCAAGGTCACAGCAGATTCGGAAGACATCCTGCAGCCTGCACCCCGGGGG